TATCATATGGCAAAAGTAACAAATACAAGTGGCTTAAATAATGAGTTTATTTTTATCTCACCCAAGTCCAGAGATGGTAGCTTCTGACATTGGCTGAGGTGCCACACCAACGCTGATGTCAGGGAATCAACGAATAACATGCTACCATGGTGTCAACTACAGTTCACAAAGGCTCATGCGTCTGAGTGGAACCGGGCTCCACAGTACTTTCAATGGCTCACTTTTTCATTTGCACGTATCCTTAATGTAGTTTTCTTTATGATGCCACTTCCTGGATGGAAGATGGTTACTGAACACAACAGAGAACTCTGCCTTTTTAATTAGTAAGGGGTTCCCTTCCCAGCAGACCTTTCTTCATTAGTCTTCACTAGGTCACATGTCCATGCTTTAGACCTAGAGTTTCCAAAAGTGACGAGCTAGGCATATATGGCTGATTAAATTAAAAATAAAGAAAAATTTAGTTTCTCATGTGCAGCAGTCACACTTCAGTGTTCACTACCTAGACACAGCTAGAGGCTCCAGTATTAGATGGGCTCCAACAAATAATTCCTTCACTGAAAAAAGTTCCACCTTGGACTAATCAGAGACCATAAGGAATCAAACCACCGCTTCCCCACTTCTGGTTTAGATCAATCATGACGACGCCCTCCTGCCCCTGTGGCAGAGGTTAAGGTACTAATCTCCCCAAGGGAAAGGGGTTTATGCCTACTATCTGGACAAAATAGGGTACAGTTAAGAAGTGGAAGTAACAGCAGCTGGGTATGTAACTGTCACAATGGGATTATCAGTACATTTAAAGAGAGCTTTATAAATTACTATACATTGGCAATGTGTTTAATAAACAAAGTTTTTGGCAAGAAGCTATTAAAAGCTACAAAAATAAAGTACAATTAAGGCTGGCAGTTATAAGAGGCACTGAGTTACTTATTATATAAATACTGGGGAAATAAACACTAATTTAGTAAATGACGGGAGGTTAAAAGGAGGGAAGTGAGAGACTATATGGGCACTATATTTGTTTTAGCAAACGTAAATTTGAAACGGCTAAATTGAAAATGCAGTTCATAATTTCACGTACAAAAAAGGTCACTGGGGATGACCACTACCCATGGGAAGACTTCTTTCCCTCATGGCAATCTTCTTTACTGCAACATGAAGACAGTACATAGAGAGAACTGACTAACAGTGAAAACTCTCTGAAATGCTAAAATAAAACTAATACTAGAAATTGTTTTCTTCCTAAAGAATAGATTTCTTCATCACCCCAGCTTGCCAAAATTCTCAAGATGTCTACAGAAGTCTCAGTATGGCTGGTTTAAAAAAATATGAATTATAAATACTAACAATAAATACTTGCCTAAAAGGACTTAGTGGTTATAATAAAAAGCTATCTGTGTCTGAATCAAGTGAGTTTATTCCTAAAGTCCCTTCAATTCTATTGAAACATGCCAAATGGGGTTGAAGGTAGTATACTAGTTGTTTACTATGAAAAGAGGAAAAGGAATAAAACTTCTAATCATAACTAGAAGGCAACAAGATATGAGAATTATAATAGTTTTTTGTCAAAGATAATTGAGTTTTTATGATTTCTTTTGAAAAACTAAGAAAAAACTAAATATTAAACAATTAAAAAAACCCTTTGGCCACTGCTACCCCTTCAAGTCCTTACTCTCACATATTTATCTAAATACTTTTATGTAATTTACAATTGAAAGTTCAATAAAGAAGCATTTATAGGTAAAAATATAAATTCTGTCCTATATTAGAAATTTTACAGAACAATACTGCTGTAATTTGGGATAACAACCTATTTTAATTAAGATTTATCAGCTTAACATTCAGAAAATAAAATAACCACTTAGAATATAAAGCATCATCTAACCTAACACCACAAACAGTCAAAGTAAGTTTGTGAGCATATACTTCATTCCTGTCATTTATCTATGTTAATCTAACTCCTGTCACCAGTGAGGGGCTTAGCAGAAACCGAGTTCAAAATCAGTTTATATCAATTATCAGAATTTATTTTGAAAAAATCTAGAATCGTCATATATATATATAAGTTTAAATCATCATGGTTTATTTAACAAGGTTATTTTTACATTGTGGTTTAAAAGCAATTTTTTATATATATATATATGATATGAAGAAATTGATGTACAATCAATAGAGTCTTCTAGAATCGTCTGTGGATTTTCTCCATCTTCCTGCTTAGCAGTAAAAGGCATTTTAAGGTTTATATAAACACATTCTTTACAACTGCCCTATTAACAGAAAATCAGTATATAAATAGCACTGGGCATTTTAGTAAATAAGTCACAGGCCAGTAAGTTCAATTGTGCAGTTGTGAAATCTATTGTGAAAGAGTTCTTGAAACTTTAAGACTGGGTGATCTGCAATGTTTCCAACATGTCTTCAACTGCCTTAAGAGAGTATTTGGTTTCCTTCTTACTTCGACCTGCAAACTAATTAAAAGGGGGGGAAAAAACTGCAATTAGGCTCAATTTCAATGGCAGGCTCAAAATCACAATCTTACCTTCACTTTGGTAGTTAGGCTTAACATTAACTATTTTATCACTAGCATGAAATCAGATATGTTCTTTTTCTTATTCTTCAGCAAGAACAGAATGTGGGTTATGGGGGAAATCTTGAATCTTTCCATTTCAGCTATAGAAAAGTATAGAAAGATTCCAGTGTTGCTTTGGTCACTTGATTAGTATAAACAGCAAGATAATTTTTAAAGTTTTACAACTTTTGAAAGAAATACAATTTATAAAAAAAAATAAAACATCTGGCCTCTAAACAGACTTTAACCATTTAGAATAAAGTACAATATATAATTATATTTTTAAATTGCTAAGGATCTCTAAAATTAAAGTAGGTAGAAACAATTTTTTTAAAAATTTTCCTAATTTATAGTTATGTATTGACTAAATTATACCATATTTCTGAAGCAAAGAGCTATTACATACTAAAGTAACATATGTCTTAAAACAAGAGTTTCTAGCTTATTAAATTATAATTTACTTTATCAAACCAGATGGAGATTGGTTTTTGTGGTGAAAAATCGCAATGCATCAAATGTTATTTTTGTATATTTAAAAGCAAATTCATGGCATTTTAGTTTAATATAATGCAAAGAATCTCAGGCAGAGAAACAACAGTGATTACCTCATGCTGATTTCAAAATTAGTTTTCTAACTAGACAAATAATTCCATTACATTCAGTCTAATTTAACACAACAGACTAGATAATTTAAGTGTTCCTTGTGGTACTGGAAGAAGGATTTTTTATTACTCATATTCTTATTTAAAGCACTAGCAAAAATTTGCTATTAGCAACATACAGTATTTTCAAGTTGACATTTAACCACTCAATATATTTTCAAGTGACTGATCTTTCCTTCAAATACCAATGCTGTCTAAAGTACTTAGTTCTTGATTTATGATGTGTTCCTTCTCTTTCGTAATTAACTCAATTTGGCAAACTTCTCATGACCTGTTGAGAAAGATTAAGTGATCAGGCACAGGTAACCTCATAGAAGCACTAGGCTCAAGGACTTGGTAACCTGCCTCTGACCCTTCTGGCTGCAGCTTAGTATTTATGATTATACTTCCGAAACTATTAGCTTCTGTTGTTGAATCTTGATTTGAAAGAATAAAAAGGTTTGTAAGTGAAAGAAGGTTCCAAAGGAAAAAGTTTCTGATATGAATCAAAGTTATTTTGCCTCCTTTTGTAATGCATTACTAGTATTCAAGTGTTAAATATACATGTCATAATTAGAAAGTTAGTGTCACAGCAACACCACATTTAAGACTGTCATTTCTTAATTTCTTTTGAGGAATAAAGGATGTGAAGTGGACTTATTATTTCTTTATCCAGTTAATAACTTCATTTTCTCAAAGACATACCAAGAACAGAAACTTTTTTTGTTTTAAATCATTGTCTAACCAAAGTAAATAAGCATGGTCCTCCTCATCAGATTCTCAAGATCTAATTCTGAGGAAAAAGATGTAGTAGATTGTGGGAGATTACAAAATACAATACCAGACAGTAAGATTTAGTCTAATATTTTAAGAGTAAGAACTATTCTGGAAGAGCAAAAATACAGTTTTGCTTTGTTTGTATTTGAACATAATTGAAAATGTTAACTATAAACAGGTAATTATTTAAAAAAAAATTAGCTCATTCAAAATCACCTAAGACTACTGACAACCAGTGGAATTTAATATAAACCAAACCAACTTATTGTGTCAGAACAAATAAAAAGAAAGTTCAAAATATAAATCTATCACTTTAAATTTTGTCTGACATGCAATTATTTTGTCTATTCCAAAATTATAAGGCAATTTAACTGATTAAGCTGGAATCTTATTTTTCCCTCAAATCATGATTTAATTTTCTATTTCCCAAAAGGATAGTAACCAAATCACCTCTGCAATCATAAATAACATGGGATTCATGAGCATAAAAGAATTTAACAATGTACCAAAGAAGCACTTATCTGGAAAATTATTTTAAGAAGGTTCACATTGAAGTTTTTCATGAGCATTAATCAAACTTGTCTGCTTTTACTAAACATACTAAAACAATTACCTCCTGAAGAACAAGTCGGAGTCCTATTCTGTTTCATTAGGAAGTGGAAATAAGAAAGGCAGTTCTTAAAGCCTCTTATTCTCTAATTTATTCATACCCTATAAAAACCTTACAATAAGGAATACGGATTGCATACTTTATTATGGTTTATGTGCCTAGACATGAGTCATAAAATTCTCAATTAGATCCCAGACATTTCTAATTACCAACCTGTAAATCTCTTACATTTTTCTACAGTATTCACAAATCCTAGATTTCTATTTTCATCCATTTAGACAGAGTTTAAGAAAAACAATTCTTTCCTAATTCTCAGGGGAACCAGAAAGAATACAAAAATATATAAATAATAAAACATTATCTGTCACAGGAGAGGTGAGGGCTTCTGTGGTGACACCTGGGACAAGTTAAACTTGAATTTATCTTTGCACAATCTGTGGGAAATATATCTAAGCGAATAACAGAACAAATACAATGGGGAAGCAAATGAAGGAATCCTAGAACTATGAAGATGAATGAAAGAAAGCAGACAGCAGAGAGTACATCATCTATGGCTCCACTGACACAGCTTTAATAAGGGGAAACTAACATGGAGTGATAAAAATCAAACAGGCCAAATCCAAATCCTTGACTGGAAAGAAGAGTGGGACTGAGGACAAGGAGCTAGATGGGACTTTTCTGGGCAGATGGAAACATTCATACCTGGACTGAAGTGGTACCGATAGGGGTATAGAAAAATCAAACTGTCTACTTACTCTACGTGCATTTTATGTAAATCCTATATCAATAAAGTTGATTTCTTAGGGAGCTCTGGTAGCCTAGTGGCAAGAAGCTGCACTGCAATCTTGAAGGAAGGCAATTCAAATCTACCAGATGCTCCGCTGGAGATGAATAAAGTTGATTTCTTTTATAAGGCAAAATGAAAAAAGGGGCAGACTGCTATTAGAGGTATCAAACAGAGTAACAAATAGCCCAGTGATACAAATCTTTCCTTCACTATCTAGAAGTCCTGCAACACTTAAGTCCGGGTTGGCTAAGACCAATGTTAGAGTAGCAACGTGTGATACAACCGAAGACAATGGAAGGAGAGAAACAAGCAAACCCAAACTATCACCCAACTGAGCCCAAAGCAAGCTGCAAACCTTATACAGAATCATAAGCAGCTAAAATACTGGGGTTTTTTTATGAGCAACACGGAAGGATGCTAATGGCAAGGTCAGCACGGCTTGGTCTATTCCGTTTAAGATTTAGAACCTGGAACAGGGTGCACCCTCGAGCCTTGAGTTACAGGCCAACAACAGACAGGCCTATGGAAGATGACCAACAATGCGAAGGAAGCATTCAGTCCTCAGACTAACCATGCATTTAAGATCAAAAGAGCTGCTCTACTGAAGGATGGAGCCTAGAAGGAAGGAATGGAAGGGGTAGGATAGAAAGATGAGAATTACAGGAAGGAAATGAGGGAAAAAGCAATTACGTTATGAACCAAATTGTGTGTCAAAGACTGAATGAAAAAACAACATGCTTTGTAAACCATAACTGAGTCACAATTAAAACAAGTAAGATTTACAGCCTCAAAAAGTGGACTGAGAGTCACCACAGATGACAATCACCTTGACAGCAGGGGGTTTAGTTCTGGCTTAAAAAGTAGCAAAAGTTTTAAAAAAGTTAGCATTACCAAGAGTTAATAGGCACATATACTTAGGAAATCGGATTCATAGTGAATGCAAACCCTCTTGAAAACATCACAGAATTATGAAAATAGCAAAAGCACCAGGAAATTTTACTTAAAGCCTGTTCCTGGTATCCCCAAGCAACAATGCATGAGTATCTCTCAGCTGTGCAGAAACCTTACATGACTAGCTGAGATGTGTTAGCACTCTGCAGTGACCTGCAAATGATACCAAGAAAAGAACCCTTTGTATTATCCTTTACAGAAGTCAAGAAAGGGCACATCATAACTATAAAGACATACAAATCATTTACAGGTTTTGTGGTGCACAATTCAAGCAACTGATGAGCAGAAGTAATGTTCTGAGGTGTTCCCAAAGAAAACAGACTTTATAAAATGGGTCTATGAAGACAATGGCAGATACACGCTGGGAAAATGGATTCACATCTTATGATAAAGTATATCGCACAAGGCAGCAAAGCACATGTTTGCCTAGAGATGCAGCCAGGAGACCTTTTATCACAAGAAAGGGAGGAAGAAAAAAACAAAACCGAGCTTGGTTATTACTGAAGAGTCTTTGGTCTAAAATGGAAAGAGAAACAACCAAGGGAGGGATGTCAACTGTTCACATGAGTAAATAAAAATGGAGTTAAGAACAATTACAGTTTCATATCTGACATCTCTTTATAGAGCCAGTACCTTCTGGCAGTTAAGACTACCAACTCCCGAGTTAAGACAGCTTGGTCTGAAGGCAGCTCTGTCCTTAAGCATCTACAGTACCGTGGGAAAGTGACTTGTCCTTATTTTCTTCATTTATCAAACAAAAAATTCTTAACTCTTAATTAAGGCTTACTATTATAACTGACATTGCTGTTGATTATTATCCCTACAATTAAGAGGCTACCAATAAAGTGAACTAAAAGGACATAAAATGAGTACTACTGTGATTTGGCAAAGATTATATATTTATTCCTTTAATCTCCAGAATGCTTTGATTATGCCACATTGAAGGGGACAAAAGAGGCCCAGAGATACTATGTAGTTTGTCTGAAGCTGCATAGCTAATGACTGTAAGAGCTGCGATTTTAAACCAACCAATGTGGATTCAGCAACAGTGCTCCTATCGTCATGTCACTGTATTTTCTTCCATGGAATTGGACATGTGGTAAAATGAAGCAGGACAAAAACACCTTGTCTATCCATAAGGGAGGAAAAGGACTCTATTTCTAATTATAAGGGAAGACACAGGAAAAACTGACACACTGAATTATGGTGATAGTGATGAGTACTGAATCTCTAGATAGACAGATAAATGAGTGCTGTCAGAAGAAGGAACAAGCCTGCCCTGCTAGAAGTGAAATCAGAATGGTTGTGAGAAGGGCAAATGGTGAGAGATCATTTTGTTAAATCTAGACACGTTATCAAGAAAGATGTCAGCCAAAAACAAGAACACCTTCGGTGAGAGGGATTGACACAGTGGCTGTGGCTACAGGCTCAAACACAGCCAAGACTGTAAGGATGGGTCAGGACCAAAGAGCATTTCATTCTGCTCCACACAGGGGGTTACTACAAGTTAATTCAACACACAGAAAAAGAAAAACTTTGAATGATGTATAAAAAAGCAGTCCAAAGTGGACTGTGGAACTATATGTAAAGTCAAAGAATAAAAATTCTGAAGACATACTAGATTATCTTCATGATCAATAGAATAGCAAAAGATTCTTAAACACAAAATCAACAAATCATGAAAGAACAGTATCAACACTTGTGCAGTGGTAACAACAAGTAAAAGAACAAAACCTACAACTCTACAAAGTAATAAAAGAAAAATTCTGAGTACTTAATTTCCTAGACAGGAGGACGTGAGTTGATGAATACAGGGAAGTCTTTATAGGTTCCAAGTCATAGGTAAGAAATTATAGCTGAAGACCTCAAAATGTCATATGTATCCAGCAAATACTTCACTCAAGAATGACAAAATTTCACACTGAAAGATTAGTGGACACTGATGCCAAAATGAACAAAGTAGACACACCAGGGGTGAGAGAGCATATTCAGACAAGGGAGAGGGTGGTATACAGAGGAAAAAACTCAAACCCCCAAAATACAATATGAGAGTGGTTGTTTTTAAGTGCCGTCGAGTTGCAGGCGACTCAGCGACCCTATGAAGGAGAGTCTTCGAAGCGTGGGTGCCTTTCATCCTCTCTCCAGGTTCATAGAGTTTCCGGAGGCAAGCTATTACAGAAGTGGATGCCACTCCTCCTTCCAAGCACATGAGAGTAGCGCCTCTGAATTCCAGGACTATGGTGCTAGACTTCAAACTAAGGCTGCAGCCAGAAAACAGTCCTAATTTTGAGGAAAAAAACTACACAAGAGGGTAAGGAGTTGTGCTGCCAACCAAAAGGAAGGTGGTTCGAATCCACCAGCCACTCTGAGGGAAAAAGATGGCCACCTCCTCCCAGGTAATTTATAGCTTCTGAAAACCCTGAGTTGATTCCAACTTGATAGAAATTGGGGGGCAGGGGGTGGGGGTGGGTTTGAGAGTAACAAAATAGATGAAGACAGAAAATATGAGCCAAAAAAGCTACTCTACATTCTTCCTACCTCCCCTATTTCTATAAAAAGCCTTTTCCAAATGATCATCCATCAGGCCTGGAACTGAAGGGAACTTTCAGCCAAACCATGCATAGGATTGTAAAGTAATCAATAACATCATGGGGAAATCTACTTCTTCGAACGATCTACCCTACAGGATCAGAAGGACAGCATGTGCTCAGGGAGAAAGGTCAAAAGGCAGGAAGGGACAAAAAGAAGGGTAAACGGACTTGGTAAACATAGCAGAAAATAGGAAGAGTATTACATTGTGAGGATCGCAATCCATGTCATGAAAGAAAATGCAAATGAGCTGTTCAACAGAAGACCAACTTCCTCTGTACACTTTCATTCAAACCACAATACAAAGTGGGCAAACAGGGACAGCAATACAGTGGTTGATCCATATAACATAATTATCAATACTAACCTGATAAGCTCTGTTTATTTGACTAGCTGCCCAACTAGCATATTTCATGTTGTCCTTTTTTGTTTTTGCACTTGCTTTTGGATTAGAAGCAATGTGACTTGCAGACTAAAAATAAAAAAGAAACAAATGGCATATAATTCTTTGTTCTAAACGAATAAAAAACATGTAAAGATAATGGCTATTATGTGACAGCAGAAATCATTTCTAAGTTAAACCAAAATTTTTACTTGAAAATAAAGTTGAATGAAATTAAGTGTTTAAAAAAAAAAACACCCTGATTTTAGAATACAGTACAATGCAAAGTAATGAAAAAAAGAAACATTAAATAATATCCCCAAGTATTTATGTATCTGCCAGTTTTTAAAGATAAAATCCCTTCTTTAAATAACATAAAAAAAAGCATGTAAGGGCATTTTATAAACAAAAATTATTTACAGTATTAATAGAGAAAAGAATTTAAGATGAACAGGAGTGACCTGACTTAATCAAAGCCATTTAATGGAAGGAAAGTCTGCAGGAGAAAGGTCTTTACCTCCCACTCCTGTCTCCTCTCACTGTATCGAGTTTTCTGTGTTCCTTAGACTCAGTCATTCTCTCATTAACATGGAGCTGGAGACTTACAGCTTACCCGCCTAGCTAAATCTCAGCAGATTTTCTACTTTCTGGGTGTAGTCAAACCCCAGAGAGGCACACCCTTTGAGTCCCCAGTACAACTAAGAACTATTCCCAAAGCCCCCTCTCTCACTCACCACTGTTATTGCTGTTACCTGCCAGTAGTTACCTATAACTCATAGTAACCCTATGAACAACGGATCTGAATCCTGTCCCATCCTGAGCTGTCCTCATCATTTCTGATACACTTAAGGCCACTGTTACAGTCACTATGTCGGTCCATCTTGTTAAGTGTCTTCTCTTAAACTGATCTTAACTGACCTCCATCATTCCAAGCATGTCATTCTCCTAGTACTGTTGTTGATTTCCTTCAAGTCAAGCAGGCTCACAGTAACACAAAAAGGCCTCTACAACCATCGACATTTATCAAAGTTCATAGAGTTTTTGGAGGCATGTTATTTAGGAAGTGGATGCCACTCCTGCTTCCAAACCTGTCACAGTGTTATTGTTGTTATGTGCCACCGAGTCGCCTGCAATATATAGAGGCTCTATGTACAGCAGCTCTGAACCCTTCCCTGTTCTGAGCCAGCCTCACTAACTCTGACACAACCCCCATCACCGCAGTTACTATATAAATCCATCTTATCCAGGGTCTTCCTCTCCTGCACTGTCAGTCCACCCTCCCGAGTATGATGTCCTTCTTCAAGGACTGATCTCTCCTAGCCATGTGTCCAAAGTAAGGGAGGCAGAGCTTCAAAATCCTAGCCTCCAAGGAGAGACTTGTCTTCATCCTTTCCAAGACAGACCTATTTGTTTTCTTGGCAGTGCATGGTATGTTCAAGACTCTTCTCCAGCACAACTCAAAGGCATTTATTCTTCTGTCATCCTTAGTCATTTTCCAACTCTTTGAAGCATAACAAGTAATTGAGAAGACTATGGCCTGAATTAGGCGCACCTTTGTATCTAGACTGACATTGTTGCTCTTCAGCACTCTGGAGCAGTCCATGACAGCAGATTTTCCCAACGCAATTTCTCTTTTTACTGGTGTGAAGAGTGTTGATTGTGGATCTGAGCAAGCTGTAATTGTCAACAACTTGTCAATCTCTATCTAATATGGTGATGCCAATTGGCCCAGTGGTGAGAATCTTTGTCTTCTTGATATTAAGCTTTAATCCATCTTGAAAGACTACAGTGCTTGTTGACCTTTTGCAGCAAGTGTTTCAGGTCCTCCTCAGTTTCAGCAAGCAAGGTTGTGTCATCTGCATTTGTAGGTTGTTGATGAGTCTTCCTCCAATCCTGATGCACATTCCTCATAAAGCTCTGCTCCCTGAGTGATCTATTCTGCATACAGATTGTAAAGGTACGGGGACAGGAGGCATCCCTGACACACTTCTTTCCTGATTTTGAACCATGCAGTGTTTCCTTGCTTTGTTCTGAGGACTGCTTCATGGTCCATGTATAGGTTTCGATCAAGTGCTCTGAGACTCCAATTTTCCTCAGGTTAGCCACAATTTATTGCGATCTACACAGTCAAATGCCTTTGCATAGTCAATGAAACACTGACATCCTTTTGGTACTCTGCTATCCACACTGGCAATAATATCTCTAGTGCCATGATCTCTTCTAAACCCAGCCTGTATTTCTGGTAACTCTCTCTCAATGTACTGGTACTTCCTAATAATATGCTTAAAATATGTGAGATGAAGCTTCACTATCCAGGCCTCCAAGGAGTACCCTGGTTGTGCTTTCTCCAAAACGTGTTTGGGTTTTGGGTAATTCATAAGATATTCAGTACTTTTTTTCTTCAACTCCACAATTCAAAGGCATTAATTCTTCTGTCCAACTTTCAGATGCATAGCAAGCAATTGAAAAGATCATAGCTTGGATCAAGTGAACTTTAGTCATTGAACTGTCATCACTGCTTTTTCAGTACTTTGGAGAGGTCCTTAACAACAATTTCCCAAAGAAACCCACTTGGTTTCTCAACTACTGGGACCAAGGTACTGATTATGGATCCAAATAGAATGAAATAGTTGATAATTTCAATCATTTCTCCAACGATCATTACGCTATCTCCTGGCTCAGTAGTGAGGATTTGTTTTCTCGATGGTGTCACGTAATCTATATTGAGGGCTGTAATCTTTGATCTTCTGCAGCAAACATTTTAAGTCTTCCTTTCCGTAAGCAAGGTTGTATCCCCTGTGTAAATGCAGGCTGTGGATGAATTTTTCTCCAATCCTGATGCCCCATCTTATCCACTCTCTCCTTCTGAAAATGTATTTAAACTACTCACTACCACAAGGTTGACTCTGACTCACAGAGACTCTATAGCATAGAACAAGAAGTGTCACATAGACTGTAAATCTTTGGGGAAGAACGTAAACAGACTAAGTATCTAGGAAAGAACTCTGCCTCCTTTTTCTCCAAGGGAACCCTGTTTGACTTGCCATCCAATCTGTAAACTCAAAAAAAAAAAAATCCACCACTCTCAAGTCAATTGTGATTAATGGTGACACTATAGGGCAGAGTAGAACTGTGTACCCACAAGGCTGTATATCTCTACAGATTTGGATTGTTAGGGACACAATTAAATCCTCCCACAAAAATACATGTATATGACTTAATGTGGACACTATCTAATGACCCTCCATGATCTGATAAATGACATACTTGTAGAAGGATTACAGGGAGAATGACATACTCTCTAATCCTTCACAGCCCTAAAGGGTATAAGGTGAGTCTTCCTAGATGGTGGCCAGTAATACCTTTTATCTAACTAGAAATAAGAGAGGAAGAAAGGGAGCAGGAGAACCTTAGTAACATGAAGAAATGACTACCTGGAGTGAGTGTAAGTTTTGGGAGCCAGGCAACTGTTTGAGAAAGCTCTTTAACAGTGGGGAAAGCTGCAATTTATGAAATTCTCCAGGGCACATGAGGTCTAGAGGATGCTGAAGGAAATAAGGACTCCTCTCCAAGACAGTCAGCAGAGGATGGATCTTGCTTCGGAGCTAACTCCCTGAATTTGGACTGCTGTCCAGCTAAAGTTTAAGAGAATCAATACTGGCTTGTTAAACCATTCACCTTCTGTATCTCTGTTACATGAGCTAAGACAGACTGGGCTTGAACTGCTGACCTTTTAGTCAGCAGTCAAAAAGTTTTAATTACTGCACTTCTAGGGCTCCTTAAACATCAAAAAGTGTAGGTTAATTTTTTTAAATGCAATCTGCATTTCTCAGAAGAGGAGACAGAACTTTTTCTTAACATGATCTGTCCATGCGATTTATTCTTCATATGATCTTAACATGATCTTTCCATGTGATTTAAAAAAGGTAAGTCTCGCAGGTGACTCGATGGCACAAAGCAACAAGAAGAAGTCTTTTTTTTTACCTAGCATGTGTTATAGGCTCTTTCACCTGTGTGTGTGCTTTGTCTATGAGATATCTGAACAAAACCTGACTATACACCAAGGAGCTCTGGTGGCCTAGTATTAAGGAGCTGTGGTGCCAACCTGAAAGCACAGGGTTAAATCCACCAGCTGCTCTGTAGGAGGCAGATGAATAGTCTCATGCTCTGCGATTTACTACCTCTAAAAAGCCATTGGAAGGTCATCTATGGGTTAGAGCCAACTCAACATTACTTAACAATATCAACACTGGGACAGCACTACTAACCCAAAGGTGGTGCATCAATGCCAGTTCAAATCCACCAACAGCTCCGTGGAAAAAGGTGGACAACCTCTTCTCATATGATTTACAGCCTCAGAAACTCTCTAGAAGGTTGACTATGAGAGGTACCGACTTGATGGCAATGAGATGATGATAAGGACGCCTCTATATTTTTACAACAACAGTATGTTTAATGTTGCCTTTGTATTATGAAGATCAGCCATGTAATGTGTAAGAACATATCTATAGAGCCAAATGCCTAAACTAGAATCCTAGTTAAATAGCCTTTCTGTGCTTTTTGAAGTCTAATGAATTGTTTCTGGATTTATGTCAGGAGCCTTGGCAACCAGTGGTTAACACTCTCGAGGTATAACGGGAAAGTGAGCAGGTAGAATTTGCCAATGACTTCCACAGGAGGAAAATGCAGCAATCTGCTTCTGTGATGACATAGAGCGTTAGAAACCTTACAAAGCACTTCTCACTAAGAGCTCAAATGGACTCAAGAGCAGCAGGTCCAGGGTCTGGGGGTCTCTCTTATACCATCTATAATAACAGGACTTAATAGCTGATCGAAGAATATGATGAGCAAACCAAAAACCAAAAAAAGCAGCAAGAAAAAAAATTTAAAGAGTTCAGAAAAATGTATAGCACATACAGTGCTCTATCTTACTGATAATGTGTTACATTTTTAAAATTAATATTTATTTGACAAAGTGACACAGGGCTACTATATTTTTAAGCTACTACAATTCAAGATCTAGTAGAATTTAGAAAAAAATGTCCTTAAATTTTAACCCAAAGTTTGCCATTTATTTCTTAAAAAGTATTTCACTTATATTTGCTCATCTATTTCTTTCCTCTTTTACCAACTTCTCATAGGACTCATATTTTTTTAAAGTTTAAGAAGGAAAAATTTCAAAAATTAGCTATTTAAGCTTATTTTTCCAGTTACTAATTGCAGAAAGATTAATTTCGTACGTATTTTAAATTCAGCAAATTTTCCCCTCCTTTTATAGCACTTACTGACTTGTCTAAATTCATCAGCTAGATCACATAAAGAGGGAAAACATTTTATATTTCCTATAAACAATTTCTAAACTCTACACTATAAAATTTTTTAATAAGAAGTATGAGATCTATATTTGCAGATGTCATTTACTGACATTAGGTAGAAACCTAAGATTATCAAGACAATTGAAAAAATAGATTATATGGTTTTCTATATTATAACTACTTAAGAGGCAGATTTTTCATTTTTGTAATAAAATATATTTTATAAAGAAATCTTAAACAGCAAGAATATATTAACATTTAAAAACTGTCATACGATATAGTGCTCATAATTAAGTAAATGAAAATAATAATATAGTAGTTAATGAAACAAAAAAACCCCACCCAAAACCAAGAATGGAAAGGACCGTTAATGTATTTTACATAACAGAATTCACAAAATAACATTAAACATACACCTCAACTCACCATATAAAGCCCAAACAAAGCTCTCATATTTCTGTTGTTTAGTTTCAATGACTGTGCAAAGTATTTTCTTGAAAGTTCGAGGTTTTCAAGTCCACCTTGGGTATATTTTACCTGTTAAAATTGCAGAGTGCTGAATTTGTTTATTTAACTACTCTGAAATAAAGCATGTTTCATCATACCACAGGCATGAGTAACTGCAACAGATATTGTAGAAACTTAAGATGTTAAAAGAACTCTTCACAAGGCTGTTAAAGCGAATTGAAATTCAAAAGCATGTCACAGTCCTCGTTAAAAAAAACGTATTAGCGAAAAGATAAGAGTAATTTCTACAAACAAAACTGCTACCACAGTAAGAAAGTCATCACAATGTCTATTTTCCACTCTTTCATAAATACAATACTGTATTTTCTCTTAACTTCCATATAAATCTTGACTTGGATACTGGAATGCCATCTTAAATCGACAGTGACACTGCTTAGTGAAGGCCTTCTAACCATATCCAATCAACTCCTTTGAAACTGCTATTAAGTAGATGCCCAAAAGGTAAACAGATCCTCTTATGAATCTTAAAATAAATATGTTGCAAACTAAAACGTAATACAAATTTCCAAGAATATGAATGCTAAAATTTTAATCACTGTAAATGTCCCACTTAAGTCTTTCAATGTAGACAACTGTGGCAAAATATTAATAGGCTATCATAATTCAGTCACTGAATTCATAATTAGGAAGGAAAATAGGATGCTAACAATAAAATATAAAGAATTCCATTACTTTAAGTGCTTTTTAATATTTCCATTACATTAGTAAAAATGTAATCCTTTTATTCCCATAACTCAACTTTCAAAAGATGTTTTAAATATTTATATACTTGCCTAACATTAAGGAGGCATTTTCAGTTCCACAATAATACCCAGTAGCAATAAAAAGAAAATCATACACAACTGCTGTTTCTGAAAACGCTTACCTCAGCATACTGCTGACAGTACAGATGGTTGTGTGGATTAGTCATCATAAGCTCCTCTAAACAAAAGGCAGCTTTTGCATAGCTGAAAAGTATCAAGAGGAAAAAATAATTTTAGAAGTGACAAATTTTATCTCAAATAACCTTTGTAATAATTTAAGAACAAGGTAATGATACCAGGCTTTTTATTCCTGAAATAATTTAAATAGTTCATTAATGAGGTACTTACCACTGTGAATTCATAAATAGAAGATGCCATATTTTTAAGTAGAAATGAACCATTGGCTTAAATCTTCAAGAGCTTAAGAATAATCAACATTTTAAATGACGGGTTACTATTATGAGATACAAATATTGCTCGCATAGGCTTCAAAATCTTGGCACAGGTGATATATAACTCTTCAGTCACTTAATAAACCATGTAAGTAGCTCAAATGTGTAAAGAGGGTATAGACCTTTTATTAAGTGCGCTCTATTCACTTCACTACTCTAAGGGTGCTGCTCCTTAGAGGCAAGGATGGTGAAACTTCACCTCACACACTTTGGGCATACTGTCACGAGAAACTAGTCCTTGGAAAAAGACACTTTGCTTAGAAAGGCAGAGGAGAAGAGTGAGTCAACAAGATGGACTGACACAATGACTGTAACAATGGGCACGAACCCATCAGAGATCGTGAAGATGGCACAGGATGGTGGTGCAGGATAGTGCATGTCACACTGTATGGTGCTGTTAATGCTCTTGACTGCTGATCCAAACGATGGAGGTTCTAACTCACTCAGGTCCCTCAGAAGAAAGGGCCAGTGTTCCAATGCCAAAGTAAATCACTAAGACTGCTGCTGTTTCTGCTCTACTTCTGAAAGCACAACAGACCAAAACCGTGCCCAATCCTGCAACATCCTCACAATGTCTCAACTGTGCCCACTGTTGTCTTCATTAAAGTACAGCTATAACTGTTATTAATACTTAAAACAAGCTGTTGTTAAGTGCCGTTGAATCAGCTTAGTGACCCCCTAAACAGCAGACCTGAACTCTGACCGATCCTGCTCCAGCCTACATTGGGCTGAGCGCACTGCCACAGCCATTGTGGAGATTCGTTTTGCTGCGGGTACTCTTCTCTTTCACTGACCCTCTGCCCTTCCAAGCAAGCATTCTGTCCTTTTACGAGGACTGGCCTCCCTCACAACATGTTCACAGTATGTCAGCCTGTTTCACCATTCTTGCCTCTAAGGCACCCTGTTTGCACCTTCTCTAACACATATTAGATCTTTTGGCAGTCCATGGGATATTCAGTAGCCTTCACTTGGAGGCATTGATTCTTCTTCTGTCATTCTTGGCCAATGTCCAACTTTCAGATGCACAGGAAAGTAAATGAAAAGAACATGACTTGGATCAGGTGCAAGCTGGTCTTCAAATTGGCATCGCTGCTCAACACATTGGAAAGATCCTTGAGAGCAGACTTTCGTAATGCAACCTTTCCTCTGATTTTTTTTGACTGCTGTTCCAAGGGTGTTAAGTGTGGTTCCAAGCAAGATTAAATCATTAAATACTTCCATCTCCTCTCCATATATCATAATGCTGTCTACTGGCCCAGTGGTGAGGATTTTTGTTTTCTTGATTTTGAGATGTAATAGTGAAGAAGAATCGGTTGTCGGAAGGCATGGGCTTGGTGACAGGAATGAGGCTGGAGATAGAATGATTGAATTTTGTAAAATCAATGACTTATTCATTGCAAATACATTTTAT